TATAATCATGAGCTTATAAAGAAATAGTCTCAATATATTATTGCATTTGATAAACATGCTGGAGTGTAAAAATTTCACTATTAGCAGCAACTTACACATTTTTTCATAGTATCATTACGAATTTTTTTGATGGGAAGGAAGCATCTAGTGTATGTTTCGGAATATTGAAAATTCAAAAAAGGACCATGAGATATACAGAAGAAGTTACTCTCCTTTAAAAATCTCAGAATTTTGACCGTTACAAGTACAGTAGAAATCCATTAGTCCGGCATCCAACAGTTCGGAATTCCCGATAGTCCGGCATCGATTAGGAAAATTCGAAAAATTTTGGTTTTCTCCAAAAGTGTATTTTCAAAGCAAATAAAAACGCTCAAGAGCTTTTCGGAAGTTTTTGGGGTAGTTCGGGATCATCCGGAAGTGCTCAGTATTGTTCGAAAACAATTAGCGGCCGGCTAGTCTCAACTATATTTTTTTTTCGAAACAAAGTACTACTACAACAGTTACTGACAAATTGAAATGTTACAACAAGTAAAGAAACAAACTATAAGGCAGTTTATATGAAAATAAAAAATAACATATGAAAAGTAATGTCTTGAAAAATCACATGGATTACGTCCTTGAAAAATTTCAGTCACGCACAACATATGATAGACTTGTAATAGGCAGTCTGCAAATACAGTGATTTTTGACCAACTTTTGGATCCCAAAACGTCTCAGCAAGATGGAAAAAATTTTTCAATATGGTTTATTATTTGGTGTAAAACACATAATGAGATAATTCTGTTATATCTCCTCTTAGACAGTCTAGACTCTAGACAACTCCTGATGATGCTAACTTGGTTAGCGAAACACATGAAGCGAAAAAATTGTTTTCAGTAGACTAAATACTACTTTTCAAGCTCCTTGTAATTTTCAAATATTTCCATCCCACAAATTGAAAATGTTAAATTCGTGACCTGAATATTGAACTTGATAATACTCAAGGTTACATGTTCAATAATGAGACTAAGATAAAACTTGTTGAACGTGTTTCATTGCATGACAAATTACGTAATGAATTCCAGTAATTAAATAACATCTGATTAAACTCATGACATGATGGTTCAAATGAAATAATTATCGTATTTTCAAAACAAACATTTTCATATACCGTTATGAAATTTGACGTATACATACTGCTAGATGAAAAGTGACTTAAATATCTCCTTCAACATAATAAATAGGCTGGATTTTTCAATATTTGGTAGATTTTTGATATAGGGATAGTCAGAAGAAGTTAACCTTCTTTTGGTGATACTTTTATGAATGCACTTTTAAATTTAGTTCCATGTAATTGTATTGTCATATGAAAAGAAAGTAATATTACAATGCTTACTAAAACCAGAGCACAAATGCTCTAAGAATGGAATTATGCATAAAAAGTTAGAAAGTAAACTTTCAAGTCTAAATTATTTACTTTTTCATAAAGAAAAATTATTCCTAGAAATGAAATGTCATGAAATCAAATGAAAAATATAGTGTGGGACAATTAAATATAATAAATATTGAAGATTAGTGTTCCATATCTTCCGCTCTAGAATTACTTAATACCACACCAGTGGCATTAAATGGCATGTGAGAATTTCTATGCACATTGTTTTTGAGAAGGAAATATGAATTGATGTGTCCTGAGGAAGACCTAATGAGAGGTCGAAACGTTGATATCGGAAATTCATTTTCTATATATTTTTTTCCGACTTCTTCCAACTAAAAACACCAGTATATTCAAAAATGTTATTGGGATAAAAACTGAAAAATATAAAATAATTTTGGGAATCTGGTGAGAACACATACTCATAGAGGAATTTCTTTGAAGAAAATTAATGAAAGCTTGTGTAACAAATGAAGAATTATCAACTCATTTGTATGTGAGGAAACTTTTCAGTTTTTATTATTTCGTGCCAGTTTGCAGATATACAAATTGATGACGTTTGTACATTCTTTCATAGAAAGGTGAATGTTTATAATTTTTATTCCTAATATTTACTTTATTGGCCTTTGAATCTCTACTCTATATGTATATTGTTTTTAATTTACTTTTTTCCCAAAAGAAATTACCTTGTACTCTTTTGGGAAAAAATGTTTTGACTAGTTTTTGTTCTTCTCCAGTTTGAAGAAAATTATCAATCTATAGACATATTGATACAAATTTGTAAATCTGTTAATAAATGAATAAATAAAACCACTCAGAAACGTGTAATATTTCAAATTTAAAAAAATCTTTGAAATGAAGAAAAAATTTTGAACTTGTTTATAATGAAAAGAGTATGTGTGACATCAATTTTTTTGAGGAAAATTGAAAAAATTTGTATACTGTGCATGTATCATGACAGATTCTTGAGGTTTAAAAAATCTATTTTTCCGTTAACCAGCTGTCGCACCCCTACGAAAGACAACCCTCAGAAGTCGAAACTTGTGCGAGCTAAGGATTAACGAGGTCTTTCCTTTTACGTGTGATTCCTAACCACCGACCAACACGGCAGTCAATTCGAGTAAGTGAACAAAGCACCGGCGTCGAACCTCCTGGCTACCGACCGACCACGAAAAATCTTATTACTCTTTCAATCAAAGTTTTCAGTCGATGTTTAAACTTATCACTTTTTCTATTTCAACTTAGAAAACATAATTACCTGAATGACTATGCCATAATTATGAATACAGTACTTCATAGCAGGCTCCAAAAGTTTCCTGCTCTCGGTATTCTGAGTGTCAATCAACTGAGAAAGCAAAATCAGCACGTCAGTGAAAAGGTCTAAACATCTCTCACTTCCACAAATCTCAATTATCGATTCCGCTGTCATAAGCCATTCCCTGGTGACTAATGGTGGTAACATCTACGAAATAATCCAGAAATTGTAATGACTTCACAATTGAAAATGAAAACTAACCTGTAACATTTGATTGACACATTCACCATAGTTGTCGATATGAAATTCCGGACACATATTCCTAAAAAGAGATGAATCTGTTGAAGAAGTTAGGTATTTTCTGTAGAATCCAGTAAAACCATCTTCCCCATCTATTGTAATTTGAACTGAAAGGTATTAAACTTCAACTACAAGTGAAGAATTGCAAAGAAATATAAAATCTTGAGTGTTGAAAAAAATTGATTATTAAAAGTGAAGACAATTAAGGTTTTTACCTTCAGATCCCACACTGACCCGACAACTATCACAGAAAATATCAACAAGGTATTTCACAATTTGTTGCTTAGCTCCATCAAAATGCAAAAATCTACACCGGCATTCATCCATTATATTTAGCAATAGGGTAACTAAGGCTTTGGTTTCTTCTAACACAGAGATTGTTATATATCCTCCCTATAAATAGAAAATAATAATAAATAGAAATTATTAAGCTTGAGGAAGCAAAACACGTGTTGCGAAACCCTGTATAGTGAAAATCATACAATAAACTGTATTGATTAGTTTTAATATGGATTTTCATCAAGTATCGGCCAGTTTTATTCAATTAGAAAATGAAGGTACTTGCATAACAAAAATATAGATCTGAACAAATTGAGAAACCATTCTGAAGGAGGGGCTCCAGTTATATATAAAAATTACTTGTAAGACGAAAGAAAATGCTCGGATGCATGAAAGGAATAAATCAATGAATATGCAAACAAATGTTTATTGATTCACCTATTTTAAATGTGCGAGCATTGTATATGTATTTACAAATATTTCAAAACAAGTAACTTCATGATGCTTCAAACAGTTTCACAATAATTTTTTTCCTGGATAATTAGCGGTTTTACAAATTTTGCTAGTTATTTTTGCTCAATTTGACATCACAATTATAACATCTATTTTACTTTTTTTATTCTCTGTGTTCTTCCATATATTTTAATCCGTTAACACCTTTTAAGACAATGAAGTCCGGATTTGTTACATTCAGTTTTTACCATAATTAAAGTGTGGGCTGTCACATACGCGGACTGTTCAAAAAATTAACAAGGTTACGAAAAAAACTATTCGGCTTTCACTTCTTTTTACATAAAAATTAGTGGGAAACTTCCAAAAACTAATCTCTCCTAAGAATTTACCCCCTACAATTTAAAAACATGTTCTGGAATTTTTTTCTGTATCATTGAAAAATAATTTTTGACATATGTTCTATTCATTTTCAAACATATTCTTTACAAATAAAACTTCGACGATTCAAGTGTGTCATTATACTGATAGATAAACTTACCGCAAGTATCTGAATGCTATAGCTCAGTTCTTCAAAGCACTTTCCTTCATAAAACTTCTTCAGCAGTGGATAAAACACCTTCAAAATCATAACTTTATTTGAAAACAACTCCGTATCCACCAGATTCCTGAACAACTCCATATAGTTATCAACATTCTGTGAACTTGGCACATTTCTTTCAATGACTCCGTGTAGAATAGTCACTCCTATACTATTAATCTTTGCTATTTCTCTAATCAATGAAAAGGTATGCTTTAAACAGGCAGTATGAAAAGTACTCTTCAAACACTCTGAGAAGAGGCAGCTGAGAACTAGCTCAGGTGACTGCAGCAACAGAAAAACCAAGTCTCCTGTCAGGTCTTCAGAAACATTACTACTTTTGTCGTTCAGCTTGTTGAAAATCACTGTCAAAGCATCTTCAATACCTTCTGAAGCCATATTAACAAATTTGTGTTTATGAAAGTGTCTGGTGGCCACAAGAACTAGTTTCTCAACAGGTAGCGTAGCAGCGCATTTAAGAACAATCTCTTTATGCTCAAAGTTGTTCATATTAACACACAAATCCAACAATAAAGATACATCATCTTCACTGCAGAGGTGGTACCAAGATTTCACACACTCCAGTGCTGCTTTATCTTTGAAAATATTTGTACCAAGTAGCGCTTTGAACCAGTTCCTTTGATCCTTGTTGACTTTATTGACGTTTCGAATCATCGTGCGTACATCGGCTTTGTGTATAAGTTCCGTCAGTGTTAATGGTTTTTTAGCAATTTGTCCTAACATACCAATCAGTTCTTTGGCTTCAGGATATTTCTGGTACTCTTCCGTCACCATGTATGCTTTGCCAGATATAACTGTTTGAAGGATTTCTTCGTCCTCTTCAATCTATAAAGTTTGACCTTATCAGAATTTTTCCAGAATACAAATTGGTGAAAACACTCAAAAATTAAGCATTTCCTTTCATATTCTTTGAGAAACAACTTCAGTGCAATGCAGTGTGAAATCATTTCACTGCAAAAAGAAGTAATGAGAAACCAGGTACAAAAAAAAGTGAACTGAAACACAAACACTACACAAAAAACTTTTGAAAGTAAACTGATGGATACTAGTGGAGTTATAACTCCAATTCACATTTTTGTCTAAAATAGATTTATTTTATTCAAATAATGATCATAATACATGTAAATTATCTGTATTAAAACAGTTGACAAAAACTAAAAGATCTATACATTTTTACAAATTGCAACGTGACAGTATTGCTGTATTATGTTCCAGACCATTCTGATTTGAACAATTGTTTTGTAATGTTGTTCAAAATATTTCTATGTATGGGTCATGTCTATTGGCAAGTCTTGGTATTCTGTTCATAAGAGCATCAAAGGAATAATTTGTGTGACAGATGGCTCTGTGAAAAGGTTGGACATTTCTAGCTTGTTTAAAACAAATATTCAACTAAAATTCTCCTGAAAGTTGAGTACAATTGATGTTATTTGAAAAAAAATTGTGAAAAAGCAGAAGTCTTTCGACATAATATTTTGACATAACGATAAGTGCCAAAAGTTAGGCCTTTTTTGAATGCCTATATACCTGATAAATGTGAAAGTTCTCATTCTGAACAAATAATTAGACGATTGAACTGTATGCTGCAACTGCGGCAAATATCATCAGTAGTATATGCATTGACAGCGAGGGCAAAGGTTTCATCTAAAGTCTCAGCATTGACTAACTCAAGGACTGTTATAAATTTATGTTTGTGCTACTATTATACACTATCTTCTGCTCACAACTCCTTGTGGGTGGAATGGGTCTAGAAGGAAATGAAAAATGTTTGAGTAATTAAGAATTTTGCCTGTTATGTTGCTTGCCTTATAACAGAGAAAAAAGGTGCAGGTTTGCATTTAGGTGATGAAATATTTGAAAAGGAAAAATGACAGAATTTATAATGTGTGATTTTGACACACAAATTTTAATTAAGTATACTTCTTTTGAAATAATTTTATAAATTGAAAGGTGAAACTGGAATCTCTGGCAAAGAATAAATCCAAAACAAGCACAAGCAATGCATCTCCTGGAGACACCAACTTGCTTGACTGGTGTTGATAAGAGTATTGCAGTTCTGGTGTTTGAGAAATGAAGTGAACCTTACTTCATCCCCTGAAGACATCAATTTGATTAGTGAAACAGGCATCTAGTGAAGTATTGCCGTTCTGGTGTTAGGAAAAAAAAAAGCTTGTTTTGGAAAACAATTCTGTCTGTCTCATTTCTCGTTTCAATTCTAAAGTTCATACAGGTAAAGGCATGTGCAGAAGCTAGTTTGTCCATTTTATGAGATTTTTTCATTACTTTTGAAAACACGATTGACTTTCTTATTAGTCAGTGGCTAATGAGCCAGAAACCGGTCTGCAAGTGTGCCCGTTCCAAAAGTGAAGGTCGACTCTTTCAGTTGTATTGCCAATTGCATATGCAGGAAATTTTCTGTGAAGATTCCTGCACTAACGCCTGTTGGATATAATCCAATGCCCTGCATGGTATTAGCCAGGGGAGTAGTTGTTTTCTGATAGGCGTCAGTCCATTCAACCTACTGTGTAGGTATATTCAAGACTGGCTTGAACGTTTAAAGTTCATTTATTTAGATTTACTTACGATTGAATCAATTAAACTCATTTTACTGGACAACCGTCAATAATGAAGAACCCTTACCTCTGCCCAGGCACAGAAAACATTTATTGTTATATTTCTGATAATAGAGCAACATGTTCTGAATATATTTTTGACAAATTTTCTCAAAGGTAGGTGATCCTTGTCGCAATAGAGCAGCAACTCAAATAAATATAATAAGCAATATCCCATATGCTGGTAGATCTGAATTGTTTTCAAATTTTTGATTTGGTCGGAGTAGATGCCTGATAAATTTTGCAGGATAATATTTGTCACTTCAGATATATTTTCCACCTTGTCCTCAACCTGAAAATGAAAAGTACAGTCATGTCAATCTGAAAATACCAAGGAGGAGACATCTTTATGAGGTTAATTTTTTTGAAGATAGCACAGACATTGATACAGGATGACATTTCATTCATATGGGAGTTTTATAGCTCGATGAAAATATTTATCCATTTGCAAAAATACATGTTGTATCTGTTTATAAAAAAATACAATAACCATGATACAGACATGATTTAGTACAGTACAGATGTAAAAAGTCTGGTGCTACCTCCAATTATTCATTAATTGCAAAAATATATTTTAGCTTCTGAAATATGTTTTCCATGACACTTTACTGAGATTACATTAGCACTATATCAACAAAAATATTGAAGAATGTACGCAAAACACTCTTATTTTAGTGGCAATCGCCAAATTTCATGAAAATTAGACCATTGTTACCTTTTTGGAAGAATCAACAGAAAACAGTTTTGTTGCTGCAGCTTTAAGTATTATGTAGGCATTATCTAAGTGAACTTTCGGTACAGACTTATTCAAGCAAGGAATTGTCTCTTCCAACAATTCAGCGCTGAACTCTATTGGGAGTACTTCAATAACTTTACAGTAATATTTACATAGATCTAGACCATACACAATGTTAACAAACAGGCATTTCGAAATAGGGGGAGTTATATTCATCAAATGGGAATATTCTTCAAGTTCCAGAGTATTTTTGAACATTGTATTCAATGCAAGGAAAAATACTATGTCTTGCAACTGCGAATTATATTCCTCTGCAATTTTTCCATCTTTCATATATCCTCGATCTGGACTGGAAATGAATTTTTGGATGGCAACCATTACATCAAGTATTTTATCTTCATTTCCTATAAAACAGGTATTTTATTGTCTGAAGTTGATAAATTCAAAATGATTCACCTCCCCTATAATTGATTTTGGTAAATTCTCCTGTATTTTTTATCAAACTGGATAAGATTCCTTGTATGGCAATCAAATCACTAGTTAATTCTTTTGACTCCATCATTTAATCATTGAGTGACTATAAAAAATAGGTAGTATGAACTTTCTGATTTTCAACGATTCACTTTTTGAAGTAAAATTCAAATAGAATAACCTCAACACAACATACAAAGATGACAGAATTGTCAGATTGTTGCCTGTTGCCACTTTTCACCAACAGACGTTCATTTGCCGTCTAGAGACAAACATCTGCGTCATGCAGGATACATTAGTGACGTTCTGATACTCCTATTTGTAGCAAAACAGATAATCGATACTGAAAAAAAATTAACCACTGATTGCAAGATTTATCATGAAACTAGATTTAACAACAGTGTTTCTAATTCAACCAACATTAACCTGCAATCTATACCAGACTAAGGTACATTGAATTACCTAAAAAACAAAATATAAAAATAATGGGAATAAGTTCATATGTTCATTCAGTGTGTGTGTGTGTGTCTGAAATTTACCTCTATGCATGATTTATACATGTTTGTAAAGAGTTTATTATAGAATTGACTGCTTTCTATTTGTCTTCAGAAAATTGTAACATTTTTTGTAAAAAACAGGAGATCAAAAAACCGAAACCTTTTTTTCCAAAAATATTTTCATAATCGTTTTTCATACGCTTTGAAGTAGCAAAATATAAGAATCAGTGTATATTTTCATATCTGGAGAAAAGTCAAACAGTTCCTCAGAATGGATCCTATTGGCTACCCGTCTTGAAGAAAAATATGGATAGTGGCAAAATAGCAACAGACTAATATCAGAGAACACTTTGTGATACATCGATTGTTTTGAAAGACAATAAACATATTTCACATTTCTGAACTCTTTTGACATCTGCTGCAGTTTGAAGATGAAGCGAATCAGCGAAGACAAAATTGAATACCCTTAGATTTATCCAATATTATGAAGACGGATGCAGATTTCAGCTTCCGAAACGATAGCATTAATTTCTCACCTTTTTTTTGATAGGCAAAATACAAGTTGTACAGTGATGCTAGAAGTTGCTATCGTATAGCGAAACACGTGTCGCAGTTTTGTAAACTTTCAAGTGGAAATCTTACATTGAAGTGTATTTTTTTATACGACAAGCTACTGATAAATAGAAATTTTTCTTTTTGAAAAATACTGTGATTCTACGCAGTAACTTAACCGGTGAACTAAAATGTTTTCCTTTTTTACACATGTAAAAAGTTCTTCATCATAATTTTTATATTTTTCAGATGTATGTAAACCATCTTGATGCGATCATTGATACTGCTAATTATACAATGTATGTAGACGACTTTCTATTGTTTCTGTCCTCCTCTGTGGATAATAAATTTCTACGAACGAACTGTATTTAAACAATTCATGCAGCTTCATTTTTTATCAATAGCCAATTTTTCAACATTAAAAAAACTCAGATGTTAAGATTTCACTCTCGCCAAAAAAACATGAAATTTACGATCTGTTCTAGAAGTGAAACAGATGGTGAATGTTTATTATGGTCAAGCCACAGTAGAATGCTATGTATACTTTAGCATTCTACTGTGGTCAAGTTTATGAGGAATGTTCCTCCTGACGAAAATCAAGTAGTTTTCATAAAAGAGCTCCAAAACAACGCATTTTGAACTTATCATTTCAACCTTTTCCTTTAAAAAATTATTTAAATACTTAAAAAGGAGGAATGAAATAATGCATTCAACATTTAAAGGGATTCGTTTCTATTTCACCATTTGACAACATCGGTTATAGCTAATAAAGGACAATGAATCTGTTACCTGTATGAGACAAACAAAAATGGCATATTTCAGAGGCGTGCTGTTCTGTCTACTTATGTTCCGAGTTCCGATACATTCTGTGACATATGACATTTTGTGCAAATAACCTATCTTCCTCTATATAAATAAATAACAAAATAACTGTTGTTTATGTGGCTTGTGGAGGTGGTATTGAACTATAATTTATATTTTGCCTCAATTGTTGATTTGTAAAGATAATTTTCCTTTTTCAAAGCAGAATATCTAGGTACGTATAAATTATTTCAACTTGATATAGGCGCTGTTGCCGATATGTGAATTAGAAACAAATCCCTTTAAAAATTAAAACCCAACATTTGAAACATCAATTTGAATACTTTTCGAAGTGAATTCGAAAAACTTATGAATTAAACTCAACTTTATTTTGTTCAAACTTGCATTTGCTGTAATAACCCAAATTGAGGAACATTCTCCAATTGGCATTTGCTTGTGGGACAATGCACCAGGTGCACAAAAACAAATTTTGAGATGTATCACCAAAGTTTCTAACAGATAGTCGTGTAGAGCTATTTTCAAAATATTTCGTGTTTTGACGCTTCCGTGTCACTTCATTTTCGAAACAAATGTCCATGTTTTTGAAAATAAAAAAACTTTTACTTACAATTCGGATATTAATGGTTATGTAAAAAAATGCAACATTGTCATATAAATTTAGCGAAAAGAAATATAAATTCATGTTCTCTTGATTATTTTGGCCTCAAAGTATTTAACAATCTCCCAGAAAATTGAAGTATACAAATAAATTGTTTTCATTCAAACATGAGTTGAAGAACTTTTTAATGGAAAAATGTTTTTATAGTACATGTGATTTTATGAAAATGCATACTCTGTGATCATCTATATGTGATGTACATTTTAGTGTTAGTGTATTTTAATCTTTTTTTGATGTAAATTTTGTTTTAATATACTACTTTACCTACTAATTGACAATAGCAATACATGTAAGCCATGTCGAAAAAAAATGGAAATAAATATTGATTGATTGTGGAAGGTGAACATATCCAAAGAAAGTCGATGAAAACTCTGATTTCCTCAATGAAAAATGACTTCCGTTCAATAGTGGTAATACTATTTCGCCATCAAATCTCCAGATTTTCAGGAAAAAATATTTCTTTGTCCTTCAGATAAATGGAATACACCAATAACCAACTTTTGATTGTCACTCCAAATAACTAGTGAAATGAAAGAATATTATTTTAAACTTTTATTTATTAAAATGGTAAAACAAATATTTGGTATCCTGAAACGCATCAACATCAAAATAGTATCAAAATATATTTTTGCTAAAACCTGTTCACAATGTCGTTGATGAAAATATATTTGTACTCCAGCAGTCATACTGTTAGTTTGAACTTTTCGAACCAGTAGATTTTTAATCACAGTTCATATAGTCCTATTTCAGACGAAAGTTAATAGTAGTGTTTAGTAACAAATCTATTTTAAAACAGGTTAATTAGTACTATTACGGCGGAAATGACCAAAACTACCACATTTGGATACCATCGTACGCTACTACCTCCCAAGTCCTGCAGAATTTTCGTGATCTGTTTGCCATACAGAGTTTTCCATCTTTCGTTACCAGAGATCAATTCCTCGACTTTGTTTACAATTATTTTGATTTGTTCCGATTCCTTGTGATCCTTCATGATTTTATTGAGCTGAAAATTCGAATAATAATAAGACATCAATTTACTGACTGTTCAAAAGATATCATTGTATAGGGTCTTCCAACAAGGACTTCCGAACTTCGACAATCGATGACGGCCATCTTGTTTAAGTACATATATACACGATAGCCATCTTGAGTTCAGACAGGGTGGAGCCCAGCTCCTTTACCCTTTTAGCTGATTATTGTCGAATAAGGACAAATGGGTTCATGACTGAGGGGATATGTTGGCGGCATGAAGTCCTCAGACATCAGTGCCGCCCTTCACGGGGTACCCCTACCTGGCTGGGGTGGGATGGATGAAAGATCTGTTCATCCTTTTAACGGGAGACATGAGGGCATGATTCGACAGAGTGTCGGGGCCTTCTATATCGGGAGGGGTCGTCTACAGCATAGTCTGTAGCTTCCCTAACTAACGGATTTTCGTGAGTTTCCGCACCATCAAAAACTCGCCGATTCCTCGACTGAATGGACTGCCGAATGGAAGGCAGCTTCAAATCTCTGCGGGTAGCTTCATTCCGCACGAACCAAGGAGCATTCACAATCATCCTCATAAACTTATTTTGTAATCTCTCCAGAGTGGAGAGTAGCCGCTTGTCCCCAGACAGCCTATACATGATGATGACAGACTTAAACATCGTATTATAGATGGTAATTTTGCTCCTCAAACTCATTTTGAATTTTCTGTTGATCAGAGGGTACAGACTAGCTATCCGACCCTCGATCTTTGACTTAACGCACATAATGTGCGGGTTCCAAGTGAGCCTACGGTCTTTTGGAAGGCCGAGGTACTTTATCTGCGCTTGCCAGTCAGTCTCCCTTCCAGAGATTCTAACTTTTCTGGCCGGAGAAGATAGCAATCTTCCCATGGTTATCGCCTGAGTCTTGTTCGGGTTCACTCGGATCTTCCAATCGAGGTACCAGAGTTCGAGCTCGTCCAATGCACGTTGCATGTAGACGGCGCCAAGCTCTCCACCCATGGAAGATGAGAGGAGAGCCGTGTCATCGGCGTATAGGGATATCTTCACACGCTCAGGCCTCGGAAGGTCACTGGGTAAAGTGAGTATAGCGTCGGAGAGAGCACTGCTCCCTGTGGCACTCCAGCGAGTATCTCTCTGTTGTCGGACAGAGATCCTTCTACTCTAACCTGAAATGTTCTGTCTTTCAGGAAAGACCCAATCCACCGAATCAGGCCCCGAGGCAGGTCGAACGCGATTAATTTGTGCAGAAGGCCTTCGAGATGTCTAATAGTACAATATGCACTTTTTTATTGGTGTTCAACTCGTGGGCTTAAGCTACATATGACAAATTAGTTGTTATTCGTTCAGTTTGTTTTGCCAAATCATCATGGACGGATAGATATAGCATTCAACAACATGTGCAAATAATAACATTGTTTTATCAAAATGGGTGTTCTGTCCGGGCAACGTAACGCACGCTTCGCCCACTTTACGGTCGGCATAATCGTCCTACCGAGAGGATTATTTGCAATGTGGTGGATAAATTTGAGTCTACTAGTTCGGTAAAAGATCGTACAACACCCTTACATCGACGAAACGCAAGATCTGCCGAAAGCATCTCCGCTGTCCGTAAGAGTCTGCAAGAGAATCCGAGGGCTTCAATTTATTTGCGTCGCTCTCAAGAACTCGGCCTTCGCAGACTATAACTTGGCGAATTTTAAGTCGTGACTTGAATCTGCACCCGTGCAAAATTCAACTGATTCAGGAACTGAAGGCAAACGACCATAGACAACGTGTGTCCGTTAAATAAGCTCTGGAGCAGTTGGCAACTGACTCTAATTTTCATTGAAATATCATCTTCAACGATGAGGCTCATTTCTGGATGAACGGGTGCGTGAACAATCAAAATTGTCGAATTTGGGACGATACCAATCCACATGAGATCCAAGAGCGTCCAATGCATCCCGAAAAAGTCACTGTTTGCTGTGGATTTTGGGCTGGCGGCATCATCGGCCCAAATTTTTTTGAGGAATACGTTGGCCAAGCCATCAGCACCGAGCACTCTAGGTCGATGATTATTACCAACTTGTTGGCCTGAATTGGATGATCTGGACACCAACGACATTTTGGTTTCAACAGAACGACTCTACGTTCCACACAGCTCATGCTGGCATGGTCATTTCGGAGGTGATGTGAACTGGCCAACGAATTCGTGCAATTTAACCCCGTTAGACATTTTCTTGTGGGGGTTTCTCATGTTGCAAGTGTATGCGAATAAGCCACAATCCACAGTGATCCTCAAACATAACCCATGCCACCCAGAGCCGTTAGCGGATATTTGAACGATGTTACATTCCACACATAATAGCATCAATAGGTCTTTCAAACGAATAAAAATATCGATGATATCTCACACACACTTTGTTTTATTTGAATTTGAAGATAGGAAGAGCTTAATGAGAGACCCTATATAATCAGAAAATCGCTCGCTTAGCCTAACAAAAATTAATTGGTGTTCGGGGGCGACTTCATTGCTCTCAGTGGCGCATTTGCTTTTTCAGCTGCAGGAAAACACGGAAAAACCTGTAGCACCACATCATCTGAAGATCTTGATCTGCCAATGTTCTCTCTTTCATAAAACAAAACGTAGGGTGTCTCCAGAGGCTCCAATAAATTCAATATATCGAGAGAATACTTCGTGACACGACTATCGCCAAACTTAAACCAGTACGTTTCGTCTTTGACCACTGCATAATAATGCCAGATTCAACGCCACAACCACAGTGAACAATGACACAATGACTGCATGAAGATTATAATAATAGTGGTCTGCTGAATTGAAGTGTTTATCTATTCCGAACCTTCGAAAAGTTTGGTGTTTCTGTTAGAGGTTGAGTCATGTTCAAAGATTATCAGTGTTATCAGATTCCTATAGAAAAAACTCTGAAAAACTTCGAAAGAAAAATACTTCTCCATTTAGATTTTTGGAGAGAGGTACTAGTATGATGATGTTGATTTAGCTATTTAGAGAAATAGCTTCAAATTGATACATGATACTTTCTTTGAGAGATTCCCATATTTTTTTGTAAAAAAGATAGAGAAATAGAAAGCTAAAACCTTTCTTTCCCAATGATACTATACTTTTGAGAACTTTCGGAAGTCAGGAAAAACTAAAGTATGACCTCAAAACTATGGCCAGAGAGAAAGGTCCCATTTCTAACAATCTATTATACATTGACAATTTGGTGATGAAATGCGATTCTATAAAATTATTAAATTTCTAATATATAGTTCAAACTCACCACTATACCCTGCTCTTTAGTCGTCAATTTACTTGCAACACCTGTTACCAACGAACTCAGAACATTCACACCGCCATAACTGAAATCGATAAAAATAATGTTTTGGTTCTGTCACGAATTTCTTGAAATACTTACGAAGTCTCTATCTTTTTGAAATGTTTTTCCAAGAATGATAAGGCGACATCTAATCCTAGTCTGCTTCTGGAGTAAACAGCACTGAAAACTGTAGCAAAGTCCTGTTGCCTGATGGTTGAGTTCTCTTTGATCGTTAACTCCAGATATCTGAATAAAAACATTGAATAAGATACTTTATTCAGGTCCAACAGATCGTATTCGACGCCACTTTACAAGGGTAGATGTATTTTATTTGAATAGGATGTTATACTAGGATAATAATGATAATAATATTCATTTATGGAGCAGTATAAAATGAACAGTATAAAATGAACTTCAATACCGAAAAAGCGATGCTAGGTTTTGTTAAAAAAATAATTAGAGCCTTGGATACGTCAAAAAAATGTGTTCAGCTATATTTCTAGACCTAGCAGAGGCATTCAACATCGTTGATCACAGCATGCTAATGAAAAAAATTACATGGGTATGGGGTATGGTATATGTAGCCGAACATACGATATTTTGGAAGACTATCTATTACATAGGACTAATAGGACACAAAAAGTTAAAGTTGTGCATTGAAAGTAATAACAGGAGTACCACAGGAATAGTTTTCTGTCCCATATTATTTCTTGATCATATCAACAGTATCTGTTTCATATTGAGGGCCACCATCTCATCTCATATGCGGACAATACAGTACTAATTTTCGCAGGTGGTAGTTTTAAAAACAAACTTCCAAGTATGAATGCATAAAAAAATGAATAGGTCCATTACTCTCTCTATTGTTTACAGATCAACCGGGAAATAACATACATGTACATGTACTTGTACAACGAACAGAAATCGTGCTGTGATAGAAAACACAAACATACTTGAGTATCTGGGAGTTACAGTGGATCGGTATATAAGATGATATGACTATTAACTTAAGAATTCTATGAATTGAGAAATTTCCGGAAGTACAAAAATTTCAACAACATATACCATTCTCTAGAAGAATATGTAATAAGAGATTGTACTGCTGCCTGGGGTGGTGATTTCACCAATTTCCTTAATATCCTTCAAATGTATTACTCATTTTCTTGCCTGAAGACTATATCTGATTTTTTTTCTAAATTATGTGATGGGAGAGGTTTAGTAATTTTGGAGTATTACTTTTTTCTATATGTTTCGATATCTCTTACATTCACACTGTGTACCATCAATGAATTATGTAAATCCGATAGTACCTACTTATAACAAAATGATTTTTATGAAAAACGATTTTCTACGATTTTTAGTTGGTCAAGTCTTTCAAGAGAAGGAGTAACGGGATTCATATATATTGGATAAATCTAAAAACCTGATATCCTGTACCGGTGTCAACAATTTCGAACATTTGTCACTTATCCTGTTGCCGTTTTCAAGGCTTGTTGTGTAATACTAGACTTTTCTGGTCTACAAAATATGTATGTATATATGTATGTATATGAATATGTGGGATACATAACATTCCATGAAACGCGTTTTTGAAGTTTGTTTAGTTTGACCAAGATACTGTTTGTTGCAATCATCACAGATTATTTCATAAATTCCAGACTTTCATTTTCCGTTACCCTCTCTTTCGGCTTGCCCAACACGAGCACGAATATATTTTTTTGTTTTCAGTTTCAGATTAGTAATGATTTTTCTTCAATTTCAATAATTTCTGAAGTAAATTTTATGGCTCCAATTGCAGTTTTATGCAAAATTTGTTAGCAAAAACAAACAGGCATTTCTGTTTTTCGTGACGTTATTCGTCACATTGACAAATAATGAGTGTAGAAAAAGTCCTGTTCATCAATTGAAAATTTTCAGGTAGAACAATGTCAGAAACAGGAAATTTGAATCGACTGTTTCTCCTTCTGGTTTGATGAATCTAGAATCAGACTTTATATATTCGATTTATTTCTACCAATAGATGGCGCTCCTGGATATGCTACTAGGCTTTGTAACTTCTATAATTCAGAATATATCATTCCACTAGGCAATGATTCCATCTTATATCACATGTACAATTTTGAATATCAGGTCAATCGTCTCAAAACAACTAAGGTACACCTTCAATACATAATAATGATTCAGTATCAATATGATTCTTTTAGGTTTTAATGAGAATTGAAGTTATTGGAAACCATTACTATATTGTCTGATACTTTATGCTAAGATTATTATTCTGGTTTCTGGTATACTTACTCCATGAGTATATCTTTATTTTTAATACATCCCAAAGAGGATAGAATGACGTTCTGTTCATTGGATGACGTCGAATTTTTAAAAACGCTGAACAAATAATTGTAATCCTCACGAATGTTCTCACTTGCTTTTAACCCATAGCAAAATACTGTTTCCCGTTTGTTAGTGGGAGGATTTCTGAAAGAGAAAGATAATCATTAGCTAAAATACCTACTTGTTGATGACAGAAATTTAGTGAGGTTCTGAATATATTTTTTTCTGGTAGATTTCATTTCTTGAAAAAATGATTTTATAATTTATTGTAGCCCTCTCTTGGTAATTTCTAGAACTTCGTAGAAAGGAACAAACCATTTTGATTGATATGTTCAAATTTCAGCCTGAAACTATTTCACCTGACAATGATATTGATATTCATCAGTTCAAAAAGGATTCACTGTTTTAATCTACTTCAGTACATTCTTTATCAAGGGTTTCCTTCAAAGTTTGTATCGAACGGATAAAAAACTCGATTGGGGTCGACTGACCTTTTGTGAGAGTGACTGTTAGAAAGACAATTAGCTGATATATGAATACAGTTCCATTCTATTCCTTTCACTGAAGACAATGTGCCGATTGTGGAAACTGAAGGAGGGCTGAATGATATGCTACTTTGTTTGGACTCAAACATCACTATGAACATATTGAAAATAAACACCAAAAATCCAAAGTCACGGTCGTAAGTAAGATGAAGACTAATGGAAAACCGAATATCAAAGTGAAAAATGTACCTGTAGTACAAGAAACAGTAACAGTTTAAGTATACCCTGTACTAATTATCAAAGGTTATTCATAGGTTATTATCATAGATTATCTATGACGAACTTCCAACCCAACTAAAACATTATGATTCTTATTGAGAGCTATTGGATGGGAGAATCAAGAGAGAAACCAAACTAGGAGTTCCGTGGTAGAATTCCGCCCACAAAGAAGATACGCGGATGCCATGTGCTATCGTCGGACTCATCCGTTCCCCTCGCGGTGTGTGTTTCTTGTGCTCGACAATGCGAACATTCAATGGCCTCTTGGTTTCACCAATATTGGATTTTTCGCAGTCACAAGGTATCCGGTAAATGTAATTCTTGGAATCGCAGTTCTCGTTTGGTGGCCTGGTTTTCGTGAGGCTGCTACGGATACTGTTTCCGGATCTGAAGCAGGTTCTGATGTTGTAGGTACTAAAATAAACCAATGTTTGTTTACATGGTGCGTGATTGCACCATTGGTTGGAAATGGGTTAAGAGGGCGAATTTGAAAAAAAATATTCAATTTATCATATTTTTGATTAGTGTTATGAGATTTAATGTGAAAACAATAACTGTGGTTTATTGATGTGGAATTACTAAACAAGTAGTTACCTGCCAGTTTTTTTGTATTCTTGGAAAGCAGTTTTGGCATTATTCAGACACTTCTCTTGTCCCAATTTACAAGCCCAACTTTCGAGGAGTTCCTCTTTCAACTTATCTACGTGCGTGATAAATTTCGTTTCTTCGGGAAAAGCATTGTTCAGTAAATCCAGAATCATGCTCTGGAACAAAGAGCAAATGTTAGGAATAGAAAACATAAGGCAAATTTATTATTGTTTTCAACTCTAGTCATATATGTTAGGGGTACCTTCAACAAGATTTCCGTTTGGGCGTCCACTTTCTCAACCAGATACCTGAAAGCGCCAAAGCCTGCAACCCATGGATAATAATCTGTTTCGTTCTTCAGAAATTGAATTAATCTAAAAGCTCTATCATATCCGACCTCCCCTGTTCTTGCAATGGTGAAAATATCGTCTATCAACTGCGCTTTGTTCAAAACATGGATTGATTTTGAATCGGCACCATTCAGCGCTGCGATTATGTTGTCCCAGAGTTGTTCGTCATAGTTTACTTTATAAAATCCTGCAAACACAGATATTCCCTAAATTCATAAATATTTTAGACGAAGCGACGTTGTCGCTTCTACTATAAAGTAGCGGCTTCTTTGATTTTTCAAATGGAACACCCCGTATATAATATCATATTATGATTCATTATCACATTGTCAACAAATTCATATACTATTTCCCTATACCTATCTATTACCGTTCAGAAGATATATTGGAAACCATTACTATATTGTCTGATACTTTAATGCTCGTTTTTTTGAATTCATCACTTATTTTGGATATTCAACATTTTTTTTATACTTAGTAATATTTTTTTTGATCCAATTTTTTATCTGTTTCAGATCAGTCAATTCGAAATTGGTATGTACCTACCTTAGAGAAAGTTACAATTTGTATACATTGAGGTATTGGTCTCTAACGTACAACAGTACACAATAATATTGAAATTCAGGCATTCAGTGCTTTTACTGATTAATCCAGAAATGTATCAGAGTTTTGTATTCTCTTTTGATTGCATAATAAACGATACATTTTAGGTAGTTTATGAACTATTTATTTGTAAATAAAGATACAAATATACCCATTGAATGTGTACCTATTTATTCGAATTATGTCCCTGTATATAATTACTCTAACCCTATAAATACATTGGCCACCGTTAATATACAGGGTGTTCCAACGAAAACTTGATTCCCCCTGTAAGTCAGGAATGGACACGTCCTTGTTCACTGTGTTCCAACATGGTTTATTCTACTGAAGAAAGAATAGAAATTGTTGCTACCTATTATCGAAATAATGAATGTGCTAAAGCTGCTGCAAGAATTTGAAATACGAATCATCCAGACAACGTGAGCCATCAATACGTAAAACAGTTAATGGATAAGTTTCGAACTTCAGGTTCTGTTCACAACAGAAAACATGAAGTATCCCTTACTGTCAGAAATGACGGAGTTGAAGTTACAGTTTTAGGACATTTACAAATGAATAATCGACAATCTACCAGACAAGTAGCTAGAGCGTCTGGTGTATCAGCTACTAGTGTTTTTCAGATTTTGAAAGCCCACAAATTCAATCCTTTCGAAATAAGTCTAGGTCAGGAATTGAACGAAATTGATCCTGATCGTCGATTTCACATGCGTGAGGTGTTCAGCGAGAAATATTTTACAATAAATGTTTTTCAGATGAAAGTTCTTTCATGTTGAATGCTGTAGTGAATAGACATAATTGTGGTGTGGTGATCGATCACCAAGTGATCACCAAGAGGAAGATTAAACTCTTGAAGATGATGTGGTGCTGCAGGTTTTTCCGGATTTTCCTGCAGCTGAAAAAGCAAATGCGCCACTGGAATCAATGAAGTCGCCCCGGAGCGCAAATTAATTTTTATTGTTGTTTTTATTTTATTTTTATCGTTGTTTAAATAAAATATTTTTGACATATTCATTACTACACCAAAGGTTCCAAACAGTGCATCATAAGTAACTAAACGTGGTGTCACCGAGTTGAAAGCCATTATGTCTCTTTGGGGCACATGATTCTCAGACCCAATGATCATTTACCCTACATATGGAATGTATCAGACAGGATCTGACCGACGCAATCTCTTTGGTATAAAAAATAGTAACAATGAAAATTCAAATAGTGAATTTTAATTGATTGATGGGTAAGAAAAATATCTCCCAACTTACCACTCTGCATTACGTTTAAAATGATCCAGTCAGACTTATCGTGTTTTATCTCATAAGTTTTATTTGGTTCAAGCCACCCCTGGATTTTTACTGAGAATAATTTTTCTTTTTTGTTTGTGTAACTCAATGGGACATACCACTCAGTCGTAGCGTCTGTATAGAATCTTTTCTGAAATTGAAAAGGTATGACATAATTAGTTGTACTTTTCGTTTAGACATTTTTTATGAACAATTCAATGTTTCTTGTTTTTTTTTTCTGTGATTTTCGTACTATCAGTATCTGAAAAGTAAATAAAAGTGAAAAATGGGAATTGAAACTTTCTATATTTTTATACCACTTGTATTTGTAACTAAAGTTACTGCAATTTCGTCCTACAAGAACATTTTCAAACGAATACAATGAAGTTTATTGTATGTAACTAAAGTTACTGCAATTTCGTCCTACAAGAACATTTTCAAACGAATACAATGAAGTTTATTGTATTCGTTTGAATACAATATAGTTTATTGTATTCGTTTGAATATGATCTGTAGGATGAAACTGCAGTGACGTTAGTTACAAATACAAGTGGTATAAAAACATAGTAAGTTTTCATTCTCATTTTTTATGATTTCCTACTACGTAGTAACGGCTACATCCATCAATTCATTGGAATGAAACTGAGTCAACAAAGAGTTTGATGAAGCATATAAAAGGCCATAATGAAAAAATGACATCAAAAAATGTATGCGAAATACAGGGTGTTTCAAATTCGATCCTCACCATTGGTATCTCGGAAACTATGAGAGATACGAAGATGATAAAATTGGAACAAACTTGCGCATTTACCTGACCAACAATATGCCGTTGAGAAAGTTCAGAAATTTCGAGNTTTATATCGTATTTGTAATAAATTTGTATCATATCTTTTTTTTAATTCGTGAAAGCCATTTTGCCAAAAATTCAATGACTTGTACAATAACAAAATGTCATTGAGTGTAACAAATCGAAAGTCAAATTTAGAAACATCAAAGTCAAAGCCTATTATGTTAAGAATTAATTTTTTTCAATGTTTCCAATTTTTCGAAAAAGAATGATAACTTATGATATATCATTGTGAAGGAAAAATCTGGTTCTATTCTAAACAAGAAGAATCCAATGTAGCTCCCATAAAAAAAAAGTTGATGATGGTGGTTGGAACACGAAACATAGCAAATATGAAAACACTATCATGTAGCAGGGAAAAAGTGGAAGTGCAATTTATTTTCGAATTCTTCGAAAAATATAGCCAGAAAAAAATAACCATTTTCCGAAATTTCCGTTTTTTCCGGATATCTCCGGAAATACTCGGAATTTCAGAACTTTGCCCTAATTTAACCATCTTCGTATCTCTCATAATTTCCGAGATCCCAATTTGAAACACCCTGTATAAACCACTCAAAATTCTAATTATTCAGTACCTTGCATTTAGAAATTTTACAAAGGAATTAAATAAATAATGAAAAAGTCAGGTTTATGCACTGAGCTATCTTTAATATGATTTATGATTGGAATGCATGCAAGAGTAAATTCATTTATTTCACTTTTTTTACACAGACATATATTTTTTATGCATTTAACCCATTGTTGAAAGATCCTTGATTGTAAAATACCCCTCGATTGGAAATGATAAGTGATATTTCTTTTGACAAACGTGAACATTTCAATAAACTTTTATTACACTTTGGCCGATTACCTGTTGATTTAAGTTTATTTTTCAGATTGCCCGAAGTTAGAAAAAAAAGAAATCAGCAATAAACTAACTCAGTACTTCGTGAGAATAAATATTTTCTTCATTCAAATATATACTTTATTCTACCTGTGTGATAGATACTGTTGAGGCATCCTTTTGCGTCACAGTCAAAATTGGATATCCTGGCTGATATATCCAGTTTTGCATTTTGTCTTTGAAATTTGGAATGCTACCTCCAGTGGCGTTCTGTAAAGACTTGAGTAGCATTTTTGGATTGGTATTTCTGTATTTACTGAAAAAAAAACGAAATAAAATTAGTCATAACATGAAAATATCTGTTTCACACATGTATTCCAGAGATTGCATTCAATTATCTATCTTCTCATCCTGCTTACCTACAAACTCTATATAGTTTTATAGTACATATAGATACTATAGAATATAGTATACTATATTCTATATTCTATAGTATCTATTAGTTAGTTTTTATGAAATAACGAGTGAAACTCAGACAAACTGTTTTCATTCATTTCATTAAAGTTAGTACTAACACGTAAGGCTACCTGATATCTTTTTTTTTAAATTTTGGATGTTTTGAATAAAGAATATTTATAACAATGAACGTGCATTTCTTTAGTTCGGACTTCCATTGCCGAATATGATATAAATTGATTTGAAATCCCTGAAAGAATCTATAAAAAATTAAAAAGATAAGCTGAAAAATAACAGTTATATTAAGCGAAGAAAGCTGAAATTACAATGAAATAATATACAAGCAGCAATCAAAAATTGAACTATGAACACGAGCTGAAAATTAAAGATTATTACCAAGACAAAAAATTAAAAATTGAAAGACTCCAAGCCAAGTTACTTCACGACGTTTCGATTGTTAGTATCCACAATCGTCTTCGGGTGATGGCTGGACTTATTCCTCCGAAATCTGACTATTTATAGATTATTCGAGTGCTTTCCTCTATCCGCATCATAGGTTTTAGCGGGAGCTGACCGTTTGGCAGGAGATGGTCGTGTTCCGCTTTCCATATGTTGCGTATCTCTACACTAGCTTGGATAAATGCGTTGTTGGACAACATATATGCGGCTTCTTTGAATAGATTGATGGTAGTTGGATTCCTGGTTCAGATACTGTCCCGTGTGAGTGGGTTATCGGTATACAGTTGTTTCCCATTTAGTGTGGGATCTCTTCACCAATACGTCTAAGAATGGCAATTCGTTGTGAACTTCCTTCTCCATTGTGAAAGTGATGGAAGGACTTACGTTGTTGATGTGTTTCAGGAAGGTGTCTAGTTCTGCATTCCCATGATTCAATATTATGAAGGTATCTCACACAGACTTGAGGCTTTTTCAATGGACAGAGTTTCAAACGAAATAATTTGGTCCTTCAGTTGGAAGTAGCAGTTTCGTACACAGCATCCTAGTAGTAAGTTTGTTCTATCTTTTAGGCCGCCATCTTCGGACATCTTCCTCTGTGTGATTTGAAGTGCTTCTTCGACAGGAACGTTGGTGTAGAAGCTTTCCACGTCGAAACTGATTAGTTGATCCTGCTCTGTGACTTCGATTGCCTTGAACTCTTCACAAAAGATGATGTTTTTCTTCCGGTGGTTTTTTTACTACCAATAATAAAATACATTAAAAATTCAATACAAATAGCCTACCTAGTGCCGATAATTGAAATTTGTTCCCACTACAGAATAACACTTCAAATAATGTCATAACTTCTCCGACAGTTTACACATTGCGAATTCAGTTTACAAAAACACAGATAAAACTCCGAAACCTTTTGATCTTTCCGCCTGCCGACGGGACATTTCACTATTGACAAAAACAGTCGCCCGGACCACAAAGTCTTCAAAATGTTTTTTATTTTGACAACTCAAGTTTTTGTTTTGTCGAAATCGACACAGTTTCTGTTTAGTTGTGATTTTGTCGATAGAAAACAGTTTACAATGAACACAACGCGACTCAGACTAATTTATGTCTGTTTGGTGGAATTAGAGTTTCGAGTTTGTTTTCGAAACTAAAACAAGTTTTTCGTTTCTGTATTTGGCAACGAAACTAGTCGTAAGCGAGTCTGTTTGGTGGAAATCCGCCTTTATATATTCATTTCATACTACTAAACGAAAAATACGAACCAATTTCAAACTCAAAATGAATCTACAGACTGAATGAAATATTCCAACACATTTTTTATTCATTCAAGTGACATCTTATTGTGAGACTTTCACTAAACGGTTTAGAAAATTGCAACACGTGATTTGCTATACAATAGCTTGCGCGAGTTTATATGCTTTTATCACATTTATAATTTTGTAACGGTGGAGTTAGCGATTTATTATGGTTCATTTCACTTATATGGCTACTGTAGCTACTACTATAGCCACTGTAGTAAAATTGAAACTATGAAAATAAATTAGTAAGTAGAATGTTTTCTCTGAGAAATGAAAGCCAATAGTGCGATGAGACTCATATAATGGTTCTGAGCAAGATGCATGAAAAACAAACAGATGTCAATATGTATACAAAGTTGGGTCAATTTCATTTTTGGCGCTGAGAGTTTTTGACAAAACAAGAGCGAATCGATTGAAACAATAGGGTTACTATGCACCTTAGTTTTAAGCAACGATACATGATTTCAAAGTGAAGGTATAGAAACTTTCATTTACAAAAAAATGTCATAACAACGATATTATTCTAAATCAATGAATATTCAGAATACCCATCACCTTTTTATCTAGTGTAGGATTATTAAAAGTGCACTGAACTTAGGTGCCTGTAAAAAGTTCAATTATATCATGGAATAATTATGCCACATGAAAGTGTTTTTGATTTTAAAAAAATTCTGCATATAAAATACTTAACTGAAATATTTCTTATCCTGTTCTGACCTAGAGGGTTAGGTTAGGTTAGGTTTAAAGTGAGTGGGTCTATTCGACCCTCCACCGCAACCCGCAAGGGTTTATTGTGGCTCACACCTATTCACACTCGGACAAATAAACCCAGCTTCTTAACGAAGCCGATTAGTTTGTATGGTGAGTGGTCTTTCAGGTCAGATGATAAGAGTACGGATCTGCCGAACTCTAAGAACCTGATTCGGTCCCCAGCGGGCCAGGCACAAAGTATATGCTCTGCTGTTTCATCATTTTCCAAACACAGGCGACACACACTGTCTTCCGACAGTCCAATTCTCTGCATATGATGATTCAAATGACAGTGGCCTGTAAGAAGGCCTGTTAGACAACGTAGGTCATCCCTACTGTAGTCCAACAACTGTTTGGTATCAAGCTTCGAAGGGTGGATAAACGCCTTGGAGTGAGCCAATCCTGGGAGATTCTGCCAGAAGTCCACATATCTTCTTGACATCCAGGTGTTCAATGTTTGTTTGGCAAAGCCGACCTGGAGGGTAACAGCAATTCCAAATTTTCCACCTTTTGAATTATTAGTTGGAAATATACATTGGAAATATACATGAATATACATTCCAAATAAATAATGTAGTACTACAATCTATTTCCTTGAGCAACGGATTATTAAATAATTTTAAGGTACCTGTTCCATAGACGTATACAAGTGAGTTTCCATAGGCGTATATAAGTGAGTATTTATTTTTAACATTCAATGTTGTTGTATGCTTTGATATCATTTCAAATATATAAAGACTTTTCATAGATGTTTTTATAAGTTAAGTAACCAAACATTGGAACACATATCACTAGTAGGTACTTCCATTGATGTTTAATCGATGTTTTTAATGAATCACCCAAAATGTTTTTACTTTTCAATTTCGATTGAAAATTTAAACACTTTCAACTGTACCACAGCTTACCTGATTTAAACAGGCATATCTGAGATATTTTCAATTTTCGTTGGAGCATGACGTCATGACTCGATCCTATCTAGTGCTTTAATCTCTTTACTTGATAACCCAAAGAATGTGAATTATTGACGGAGTCCTAGCGTCCTAATTATCAAATTATACTTAGTTTGTGAATTAAAATGTCTATTTCAGTTTTCTCTCCAGTAAAGCAAATGAGCAAATGTACTTTTTCCTTTAACGAAAAGATTTTATGCATATGACGGTCTCATACAACAAAATATTTTTTGTTTATCGCCGACACTTTGGGGGAAATGTGTTGGCAATGGCGGGAGTTTCAAAATCATCGATATATAAATTCAAGAAAGGGAGAACACGTGAATCTGTGAAATCATCAAAACAATTTTCAGGAAAAGAAAACTGTGCTTGTTGATGAAAATCACAATGAATGTATATATAATGAAGAAACCATCAACGTGGCTTCCTTACAGTGGACGGTATGAAAAAAGAATTGTTATACTGAACACGAATTCGTTTCAAAAATTATTAGAAATGAAAATATACTTACTTTTTCTGTAAATATGAGTTCAAACCTTTCTGGAAGACACTTTCTCCTAGCACATACTTCATCATACGAACTATACATCCACCTGAAAGGTGAATTCAGTGATTTCAGTGAGTTGTTCATAACGGAAACGATTCGTTGAACAAATAATAAGAAAAACAAGAGAAATAAAAATTCATAGAAAAAAGTTTCAGCAAAATGGTGGGATCAGATTTCACCTTTGACTTTCACATTGATTGTCATATCAAGGTCGTAATAGGTTGTGTTGTGCTACAAATTTGGAAGTATCTACATTTTCTATATTTTATGCCTTCAACTGTCAATTACGAACTGCCTAATAAAGTACTGTTCCCAAGTAGAGAGAAATAAATCCTTCGGGAGGAGAAAATATTAAGAGCAGATGGATCAAAAACACCTTCCGGTTCTGGTGTAGGTTTTTTCAGTCGCAGACCCAGGACAGATATCAACCTGCCTAGGAACCTATGCGAATGCATTTCAAGCGGAAATTCACGCTATTGAATTGTGTGCAGAGAGATTGGAAGAACCCAACCTCATACACAAGTCAATAAAAATATTCTCGGACAGTCAAGCGGCGTTGGAAGCTCTTGGCTCCTACCGAGCAACGTCTAAATTGGTAGCAAATTGTCTCTGGTCTGGATTCCTGGCTATACGGGCCTGGAAGGCAATGAGGCTGCTGACTCCCCTGCAAAGGAGGGTGCTGCAAGCAGCTTCATCGGACCAGAACCTGTCATTGGCATCGCTTTAGGCTTAGCCAAACAAAGATTGAACACCTGAATGTCAAGAAGATTTATAGACTTTTTGACAGAATCTTCCAGGATTGGCTCATTCCACCCTTCGAAGCTTGATACCAAACAGTTGTTGGACTACAGTAGCGATGAACTTCGATGTCTATAACAGTCGATTATAACAGTCCTTCTTACAGGCCACTGTCATTTGAATCATCATATGTAGAGACTCGGATTGTCGGAAAACAATGTGTGTCGCCTCTATTTGGAAAATGATGAAACAGCAGAGCACATATGCTTTGCCTGTCCCTAGGTGTGAGCCACAATAAACCCTTGCGGGTGGAGGGTCGAATAGACCCACTCACGTTGGACCTAACCTGACCTAATCTGACGATTATCTAGTGGTCTTCAAAGGAAATCGGTTAGTGGGACAGAAACTGCCGCTGCATGAACAGGTGTTTCAGTTTGGTGAATGAGTAGAAAACATTCTCGTTCTTCGTTATAACCTCGTTCTTGAAATTCTTCGTCATGAACAACACGTGTAAAGTGCCATTCATGTAGCAAGTGTTTCCTAAATTATCAATATATGATAATATTTTGGAAATGTTATTGGTTTGCCCAATATAATTCTCATAATCTATCTGTGAATTGTGTCTATGAGGTCTTCAAGTGATTATTACCATCCAAATCTATGATGCCATAGCTGTGTTTTCACAAATGCGTCGTAGATTATTTTGCAGGTTCCATTTCAGATGGAACCCCGATCATCAGAGGTGCCATTTTAGAAAGTCCATTCGATCATGAACATAATGTGAATATTTTGTTTTTTCTAAAGTGAGTGTCAGATTATTATATCTGAACAATTTTTCTTCAATCTTAAAATTATGTCCCACTTCTGATTTTAGAGATTACCATGTCCTAGATTCATCGAAAGTAGTAGTATAGTTCGCGAAACTCAGAATTTTGCCTTTGATTTTCATATTAAGTAAGCAATCGATGCACATAGTGAGCAAAAGAGGATCCAGTAAGTACCTCGTGGTACTCGATATGTTACACTTATTATTTCACTCAGTCTCACCGATGCGAACTCTGTTGATTTTGCTTCTCCAAAGCCATATTGATTATCGGATAAACTGACATTTTTACAAATCGTAGATATCATTATTTTGCTCATTCAGAAACTTGCGAAATAGGTTGTTCATTTTTAGCTTATCACTATTTTTAAATAGTGACTCCCCCATTCACCGCATTTCGGAAATATACACTAACAAAAAAAATCAGTTGAATAGCCAAATAATTATTACATTAAATAGCAAGGAAAAATCGTTGAACTTCCTCTGAAATTTCTTCTAAAATGCAATTCTTGAAAGTTATTTCACTGTTTCCATATTTCTGGGACACCCTGAAAAATATTCCCTATTTTCTGTATTCGTGAAAAATGTATCGGTTACAATTACCAATAGAAATAATTGAATTTTTTCAAGTGAAGACATATTTTCATCGTGATGAACTCACCCTTATAGTAGCTTATATCATCGAATTTATTATTGATTTCCACTGGAGAATTGATATCTTTTTCTGGGCTGGATAAAGGCAGAGATGAAGGAAGTGCGTCATCTTGAAGAACGCTCTGAAGTACGCCAGTAACGAATTGTTTGTCTAATTCCATAGTTCCATTATCCACCTAAATAGAGCAAAGAATGTTTTTTATTGTGTGATTATATCGCTGAAATTTTAAATCAGAGAACTAGTTTGTTAGACGAAAATTTAGAACCATTAATAGTATGTCACTGTTTTAATGACACGAAATATCTCAATTTTTGATTTTGTTTGTTTCACTTGTTATGTATATTCAGTAAAACTCATTAGTTTTCCTTCTTGTTTTCATCAGTACGTCGACTGAAAACTCTGTGGGTAAAAAATTATGATTGTTATAAACAAAACAAACGAGGAAAAATGAGTTATTATGTTTTTTTTTGTTAATGATATTCTATATCATCACCTGAAAAAAATAAAGCCGGCCGCCGCTGGTCGTCATCAATCGATTATGATTTGGCTAACTCTACTTGCGCTTCGCGATCATACTAGATGTCGCATCGTTTCGAGAGACTTTTAGCGACTTCGCTATCGGCTTTCAAAGGCTTCCATTACCATATGTGAGCACTACCAACACGCAGATCGATAAGTGCAGTTGAAAGTGTGATACGAAGTGATCGAATGAGTCGATATATATTTGAAATTTCAGTTGAAGGGTTTGTCAGTATAGCACCGAAATAAAAAAAAATCTGTTAATCAGCTGTCGCCCCCATACGAACGACAACTCTCAGAAGTTGAGAAACTTGTGCGAGCTAAGGAATAACGAGGTCTTACCTTTTAACGTGTGATTCCTAACACGGTTGACTTTAATTGTACAGCGTAGTCAATTATTGTCAAACCTACCCTCAATTGTTTTTTTTAACAATCGTATTTTTTACACATTGTAAAACCTTCGATTTCCAATCGAATGAGCTCTTGTGAAGCTGTATATCTATTTTTCACGTTTTTCAACTTGTTGCTTAGACTATAACAGTTGATAAAGCGACTGGTAGAGCGACATATGACGTTTAGACTAGATCTACTATATATGTTATAAGGAATAAAGTTTTTATGGAAGCAAAGCGATTCCCCTGTAGTAATTGATGGTTAAATTTTTTAAGCGTGTATACCACGTATGTTTTGAATAATTTTTGGAAAATTTTCGGTATATATTGAAAAATTTAAGAGACACGTTACGGGATTTTTAAATAAGTTAGATTGTAACACTTTGTTTATTGTGCCTTCATACATTATAGCACATTTTTTGCGCCCGGTAACGGGCGCAAAAAATGAAGTATTAGGAAATTTCATTTTTATATTATGGAGATATTCGTTACTACTTTAATGAATTGTTAATAAATAACAGTTACAATTTGTCCGCTACCCCATAGATGATATCTACGTAAGATCCGTCATTATTTTCAACTCTGAGTTGTTCTTGGACTTTGAATTGTTCATCCTGAAAGACAATACGATCAAATATTGTATTTATGATCTAGCCTTGTACCACTTGTGACTCCTATGCCAGATTCAGTATTGGATCACAAATGCTATATTTCTGGGATTTGGTCATCTACTTACCAAGTTAGCTAGATGATATTGGAAATATGTTGCAAATCCTTCATTCAGCCAAGTGTTGGACCACCAGTCAAGAGTTACATAATCACCGAACCACTGGTGACTTATTTCGTGGGCCATAACCGTGATTATTCTCTGTTTATCGGAATTTGAGGTTTTATTTCCTTCATCCAAAAGGTCAACTTCCCTGAAAAAAACAAAAATGTATATCCTTCTATCGAAAACTTCATTGAATAATGCAGTATCAGAGTGAGTACTGAGGGTGAATAAAAACAAAAATATTTTTTAGCCCACCAACAAAGAGAAGTTTAACACCTTTTGTATGGGAGAGGGTATTCCAGTAACGAAGGTATTGTGACAGAATTATTGAAGATACTAATTTTTGCGATGTAAAAACGAAAGAAAATGAATTATAGTTGAATATGAAGCCTTTGGAATGAAAGACAACGAATGGCTCCAAAATTACATTAATAATGATAATTTAATCAACGTCTTTATCATCCTCACTTTTGAAATACAACTGAACCGGTTGAACAATTACAGTTACTATAAAACAGAAAGATAATATTCCATCTATATATACTTGATTAAATTAAATTTTTTTATACTTATTATACAGTGTGTAAAAGTCAAATAGAATGAATTCACTATTTCGGTTACTGTACATATTTAAAGAAAATCTCGAAACTTGTCAAATGTAAATTATAATTTGACATTCTTCAATGTAAAAGTGCCACCCCGATCTTCAACACCTTTGAAAGACAGGTGCAACCCTCAATTTTTTAAATGGGAAGTATAGGTTTGTGATAAATCGTTTGAAAGGGCTCTTCGCTCTCTATTCAAAAATGTTATCGTTTTCAAGTATATTGCAACAATTAAGATACAATAAATGGGAATCATGTGGTTACTAAAATTCGATAAAATACACTTAAAAACTAAAAAGTAATGCAAAACGTAATGAAATGTAGAATTCGAAAAAGAACTATGGATGTTACCAAAGTAGATGTTCAAAATGTTCACCGCGAACGTCTTGGCAACATCTTAATCTCAAATAAAACTGTCTTCTAACATTATTTAATATATCAGGCGTGACCGACCTAATCGTAAGCGTTATTCGTTCTTTCAAGTCATTCAAATCGGAAGGCTTAGTTTTTAACACATTGCTCTTTACATATCCCCATAAAAATAAATCTCATGATGAAAGATCAGGTGATCGCGCTGGCCATTCAATCGATCTTCGCCTCCCTATCCACCGATTGGGATATGTTGTATCGGGGTATTGCCGGACATTAACTTGGTAATGTGGTGGTGCTTCATCCTGCTGAAACCATATCGTATTCACTGGAACTTGAGGCTTTCCTGTATCAGGATATAAAGTTGCTAAAATTCGAATGACATCATTTTGAAGTAGTGCCAAATAATTATCGCCATTGAAGTTGACCCCAATGAAAAAGGGACCAGTGATATGGTTTCTTACAATACCTGCTCAAACATTACCCTTTTGAGGGTAATGCGTGTGTTCTTATCTCATCCAGTAAGGATTTTCCGTTGACCAGTAGCGGCAATTTTACCGATTAGCGTGACCGTTAAGAAAATATGACGTCTTCTAATTGGATGATATTGTTATACAAAACAAGTTAACAAGACATTTTAAACTAACGTTGCCACGGAAATTATCTACACTTTTTCAAAGGATATCATCTAAAAAGAACATTGCTATGGTTTTTGCTTACTTTCTTATTATAATTACCTCAACATGAAATAAGTTTTGAGTATATTTTATCGAATTTCGGTAACTAAATTTGTTCTCAATTGATCTTAATTGTTGCAATAAACTTGAAATCGATACCATTTTTGAATAAAGAATGAAGAGACGTTTCAAACGATATATCACAAGCCTTTACTTCCCAATTAAAAAATTGGGGGTTGTACTTGTTATTCTACGGGGGTTGAAGGTAGGGGTAGGATTTTTCCGTTAAAGTATATCAAATTATAATTTGAATTCGACTTGTTCCGGGATTTTTTTATAATGTGTACCGTAACAGAAATAATGAATTTATACTATTTGGCTTTTAAACACTATAATGTATGGTGAAAAAAAATCATATTCATAACATATAGAAATAAATAAATCAGTCATGTTATTACCTGAACGTAATCAGTCCCCAATTTTCCATCGCACCAGCTGCAAAATCTGGAATGGCTACTTGATAAACTTGTGGGTTTCCCAGACTTGTATAATCTATTTGCGTCCAATCACTCATCAGATCTACCAATTTTTCTCCGTAGTTTTTCGCAATTTCCATGTTGGCTTCAGCACTTTTTCTCGCGTAAACATTGTACTTTCCTTTACTCACGAGGGCTGGTTCGAAATGGGAAACGATGAAAGCAACCAGGTAGGTCGACATCATAGGTGTTGTTTGGAATGTTGTGATTATTTTATTCCTGAAAAAACCCAATTGTATTTTTTAATCACTTATTTATCCATACACACCTAATGACCTATTTACATGTATCAAATATGAATCATTTTTCAGTAAAAGCATTTTGATTTGTTATTATAACCAGAACTGGCACAGGTGTATTATATCTGAGGAGGACAATTTTGAAGGTGAAAATAAAAATGGATGAATGAATGTTTTTTGAAGAAAATGAAAATTTACCTTATTTTTGAACAGACAACGTATTGTCATTGGACACGAAAACATAAAGTGGCTGAAAGATGGGCTGTGACACAGAAAACATAACAGTTCTGGCCCACGTGGCCTTAATGGAAATTACGCAGACCTTGACTAAGTTGCCCCAAGCATCAAACAGAAGTATTGAGTTTCCTGAGATATCCTCGTAACGGGTGGTTTTCCAACAAGATGTGGCTCCTCATCGTGTGGTAATAATAACTTCTCGAGTCGAATGATTGAAAGGAGAGGTTCTACAGAATGGCCACTCAGATCTTCAATTTGAGTCCACTGGACTTTTCTCTATGGCGATACTTGAATAAAAAGTCTACGACGCAGCCAACTACCTTAGATAATTACCTTATCAATTATCAGGTGCTGTAGGTCATCAACATCTGATATATTTCAGAAGGTAAGGGAAGAAACATAGGCCGTGGTCCGAATTGTGCTCACAGCACTTACGACGCTTACACTGCTAACGTCGGGTCCGATTTACGTGAGCGCGCCAACGTCTGTTTGCAGTGTTAATAATTCGGACCACTTGTGAGTGTGCTTACGAATTCCACAAGTTAAACATAACCTAACAATGCATTTTCTGAAATAAACATGAGTGGAGTATGTTACGTTACGTCGAAGAATCGATTGAATTCACAGAAATAAAACACTCGATAATTCAAATAAATGGCGCAAAATTACGTCTGGCCTCGAGGTTTCACCAATGTAACTTTTACCACAAGAACAAGATATTTCATAAATACAATTTTTTGTTTTTTCTTCAGTGTTGTTGGGTTTTGTATGTGTGAGTATAGATCTCAGTTAATTTTTTGTTTTGGAAGTAGTTCTAACATCATACATATTTCCAATTACTCTTATTTTTCCAGATAGTCTTGGAATGTAAGGTATAACGTTAGTTGTGAAAGGTGTCGGTGGATGTTGAGTCGGTAAATGTTGAGTTGGATGTTGTTGAATTTGTGAAACTGTTTGTATGTTATATTTATAATTATATTTCATGAAGTTTTTTTAAAGACTAGTAAAACTGTATATATAAAACTATATAGGTATAGGTACCTATATCTCACTTTCAATGTTTGCCTTGTCATGCTTGTTAATGTCAAGTACTTCAAATCTCTCTAATCATCTTATTCTATGACCTATATTTCTTCTTATTCAAGTTTTATAAACCATGAAGTGGGTACAATAATCAGCTAATATATTTTTGAAAGTAATTGACAAATATTATTTATTTACCGAGGGAGTACATCCAATTGATCAATCTAGTTCAACTGATTGAATGAAATCAATGTTGAATAACTTTTATCTATTCATTGTCCTTGCTGAAAAAATTGGGATATGATTTTAAATTTTTCAACATTTCTGAGCTTTCAAAATAAATAGTTGCTGACTATTTCGGGTTACGATTATATTTAAGTACAAATGTCAAAGAAAACAAACATGAATGTTTTCAGATTGGTTCTGACATTTGTTTGTGAGACGATTGTAATAATACCAACAGAAAAAAAGTACCTACAGACAATTACTTTAAATTAAAATCAAATTGAATACTTCAGAAGTCAAGGAAGCCACAAAGAAGGATTAAATAGAAACTATTGCAATGAGAAAAAATGAATGAATTGTGGGTCCGAAGCATGGTGGGTTGACTTGGGTGGTTCGATTCACTCACTCAGTTGACCGCTGTGTGAACCGGTGGTTCGAACAGCAAGGCCGGACGATCGATTTTCACTTCCTATGATCCAACCCATGTTAGGAATCATACGTTGAATGATAAGACTTCGTTAATCCTCAGCTCGCACAAGTTTCGACTTTTGAGAATTGTCGTTCGTAGGGGACGACAGTTGGTTAACGAAAAAACAGATTTTTTTTTTTAACAATATAATTTATAGAAAGACGACATATATGCGAAGTGGGTGAGAAAAGGAACAATTGAAAAAATACTGATGAGAACTAGAAAGAGAAGAGACAAACGCTAAGAGATTTACAATTTCGTGAATATACGAATGCATTGTGATAATGAAGTGCTGGGTTCAAATTAGTTGAAAAAGATCGTGAGAGACTGGCAGTGTTCTTTTATTAGGTTAATGCAAATAATATTTGAAGAGAAAGAAGTTATTAACAACACAGAAATAGGTATAAAGAGAAAAAAAAAGTATATACCTCGCGGGAAAATGAATCAATGGTATCCAAGGCTTGGGGGATGAAAAGGAGTGAATTTCTGGGGCGGAAAATGATTTTTCACAATTTCTTTTGAAACTAGACTTTTTATCCTAAAAAGTTTATTGTAATATGAAACTATAGATAATATAATGATCAATAAAACTTTAGGATCAACAAATAGTCTGTAATTTTCCAAAAAAAAATTGAAAAAACCTCTCCTCCCAACGAGTCATCTTTTGATTCTCATTGAATTTGTTTCAATTTTTGTATTCTGAATATGCTGTGATTTTTTTTGATCCAACATTCAGTTCCACATTTTATTTTTATGGTAAACAAACAAATACATTCAACCTAAATAATCCTTCTGCATGAGTTTCTCAAAATTGATAGGAGTCTTTTTTGCATCATAATTCATTTCATTGTGTATTAGCAATGTAGTGTCACTATTGAAAAAGATGTGAATAACAAATAGAAAAATGTGTGAATAGACTGAGTCGTCACTTGATGACATAATAATACTATCCATGGCAATCACTACACAATTTTCACAAAAATTTTCGAGTTTCGTTAACACCGTAGCACCGTAAAAATGATTGATGAAATTTCTACCGAGGAAGCTACGGTGTTAAATAATCTTGAAGATGTTAGGAACCACACGTTAAAAGGTAAGACCTCGTTAATCCTTAGCTCACACAAGTTTCGACTTCTGAGGGTTGTCGTTCGTAGGGGTACGACAGCTGGTTAACGGAAAAACAGATTTTAAACAGATTGCTTGAAATTTATGATCATTCACAAACTTTTTCAGTTGAAAATCTTGAAAAATGTGGAAGGTTATGCTTCTATTCATAGAAATAAAGTTAATGATGAAATCTAATGAACGAAACGTAGCATTGCTAATTCTTTTATATCAGATCATAACAAATATGAAATAGTATTGAAAGATCCTCTGCCTTTTTTCATATAATTTGAAATGGAGGCGGTAGATATATGAAATAAAATTTGACAATTCTAGTTTTTGGCGAGTATTTCAAAAACAACCACTGATAGTCTCGATCTGAAAGACAAAAAACGGACTGTATTGTTTTTGTTGTAAGATTATTACTCATCTGTTTTTTTACATATTGCTCTCAAGTTTTGGGACCTATATATATATATTTTTTTTTTATTTTCATGGAATTATTTTCCAGCAGAAAAAAAGAGTCTCACGGTGATTTCCGTGAGTCAAGAAAAATGTTTGCATTCTGATCGTAATCAGGTGGTGCACTTATAATAATATCACTTGAAATATTGAATATTACACCAAAGGTTCCGAACAGTGCATCACAAAAAAGGAATTATCTTAAAAAAAATTAATGAATTTGAATCAGCCTTGAGATGAAACAAATATTACTTACCCATCAATTTTGGTGGTGTTTTTGGCAGGAGTATTGGCCAATACATTGAAAGTGCTGGGATGGATGATTGTGATATCAAACCTTGCCTTGAATGTGGGTTCATCGAAGCATGGAAAAGCCGACCTGGCATGAACCGGCTGGAATTGAGTAGCGACAAGGACTTGCTTATCGTAAGTGCTCTTGTAAAATCCGTACATCCCATCAATCGTGAATTTGCCGACATACTCGAAGATTATCGGTGTTCCTGTAGTAAGAATTTTCGGACAAGAAATTTGAATGATATCGGTGATGTTGTTGCTGGGAACGAAATTGCAAATGTCGTCCTGGCCTAAGGTTATCCTACTGATGTTGATGGCTTTACTAGGAGCATGCAGTTGGAGCTCTTTCGTATCTTCTTTAACGACATCTAGAATAATTGTAACTCTTCCATTGAAATTCGGTTGTTCTGGGTCGACTTCCAACTCAAGTTTATAGTGTTTTGGCTTGATTGTTTGAGGTAGACGATACTGGGACTGGGCATCTACTATCTGAAGGAGTAGTAGCATTGGAGATATTATTTTGATTATTCGCATGGTGATCTGAAAAAAAAAACATGTTAGCGATTATAAGGTGAAATCAATTATCAAATTTGAAATAATGGAGTAGATAAATATGTATGAAGTTTAGAAGAATCAAACAGGAATACTTGAATGTATTTAATGAATGTTAAGAGGTTGAAACCTAATTCTAACCCTGATGAACTGACAAAAATACCAAAACCAATGTTTCCAGAAGTGGTTTGTGAAATCCATAATTCAAAAAGACCAGATCTATATACCTCTATGAAAGTTACTATTAGGAAAGGAAATATTCACAATGCATGGAAAAAAGAAGTATGGCCAACAGGAACTATTATTTCGATATTTTTTCTAGACAGGAGGATGCCACAAAATCCCCAAGTGGTGGATCCTCAAAACGCCAAATAAACAAGATGAAGTGGACAGGGGAGAGAAAGAGCTTAATAATAGTATTTCAGGGCAAAATGCTTTGAAATTTGGAAATGAAGATAATCAATTACAAAGTGAAAAAGGACCAGGAAAAAATAGCAAGACAGATTCGAGTGTTGAAAATTGTAACTTAAAAATACTGCATACCAATATCCAAAGCATACGAAATAAGATATTAGAAGTAGAAGTTATTCTTGAAGAAATTGACGGTTTGTGTGTAAATGAGCACTGGCTTTCGAAAGAGGAATTTGATGTAACTAACTTTGGTAAATACACAAATGCTTTAGGCTTCTGTAGGTCATTTAGGTTACATAGGGGTGTTGGAATATACATAAGAAATAATATTTGTTTCATGGACTTAGAACTGGCAAAGTTTTCGCAGGAATTACACTGTGAAGTTGTTGGAATGTATCTCACTGATTTGAGGATCCAACAAGTGACTATAAATAGGTCACCGGATGGTAAATTTGATATATTATATCCGTAATATCCGTGTTTAGACTTGAAAGTCTAGACTTGAAAGTCTAAACACGGATTTAATGTCATAACCACAGGAGATTTCAATGTGCAGTTTCATGAGGAGAGGGATCACAATGCAGTACAGCTTATAAATCTGCTTGAATCTTATGGACTCAATAAATCAGTTTTGTTCAGTACGCGAAATAGTGCATGTTTAGATAATATATTTACGAATATTGATCAGGACTCATATAATGTGGCACCTTGTGATCTCCTGGAATTGTCTGATCATTTAGGAGTAATTTTTGAATGCCGCTTACAAAAAAAGGGGGAGTACGAAGGTGACATACCGACCAATAACAGATGAAGGTTCGTTATGCTTATATAAGCTTATTGAGGGATTTGACTGGTCATTTGTGAACGGCAATGACGGAGTAGAAAACAAGTTCAGAAGATTCATCGGTGTTACCGGTAAAGCCTTTGAACATTGTTTTCCCCAGAAAACAAGAACAAATGTAAAAAATGCCATCCCAATTTAAATGAATTGGTTAACTGAAAACTCAAGGGAAATTAGAGAACGACTCCAGATAATTAATATAATGCACAATCAAGATCCTAATTTGATCCCAAGACAAATAGTATCTGAATGTCGAAAAAAATATGGACTTGAAATTTCAAAAGCTAAAATACCAACAAGCAAGCAGCAATGTGGTCTATAATAAACTCAAAATCATCTGTGAGTAAAAAATCAGCAAAGTCTGATGAGCTAACTCATATATCTTCAACAATTTTTTTGTAAACATTGCACAAAATGTAATTAATGATCTAGATCCTGCGGGGAGAACATTCGATGACTACATGCAACATACTCAGCAAAATATATCCTTTAAATTTAAAGAGGTAACTTTTATCCAAGTGAGAGATAGAATAAGTTATTTGAAAAACAAAAACAGCAAAGATAATTATGAATTCACCACTTGTATTATAAACACCTTAAAAAATCTTATTGTTTATCCATTGACCCAACTTTTTAATCTCTGTATAACAGAAAGTATATTTCCATCCTCCTTAAAAATTGCAAAAGTGATTCCTGGTGAAGAAAGCCTTTCATTCAATTCAGGAATTCTTCGATAATAACTTCGATGACCTAATATGATTGTTTGAATTGTATTCAACTCAATGGAGAAAAAAAAATGTTATTTTACTCATTTTATTTTTTAAACTGTAATTTTATATCCAGATATATCCATTCCAGTTGTATTGTCTATTAGAACATGTACATGCCTATCCTATAAAAAATTAATTATTGTTTTTGCCATGCATCACCCACAAGCATTACGGTTATGGAAAAAATGTCATGATTTTCATAGAAATTTTCGAGGCGAAAAAAATTGGTTCAAAGGAAAATTTCAGCATCTGAAGTAGTTATGAAAGGAATTAGATTTTTCAAAAAACATCAATATTTACTTTCCTTTTGAAATTATGTAAAATATATAACCAACTTCATTGTACATATTTATGAGAGAAACATAAAATGTTCTGATTACCATTTTGTCACTTGAAAATTTTTGGAAAAAGATCGGGAAATTACCGGAAAAAAGCTTCCAGAATTTTGATTCAACTGATCCTCAATAGATTACCGAAACATATTTGACTCCACAGTATGATTTTCAAATCGACATCTCATTTCGTAGAAAAGAGAGAGCAATAATTATGTCGTGCACATAGACATACATACAGTCAACAGAATTTTTAAAAAATTTCTAATTTTTTCATTCCGAACTATATCTTCGAAATAATCATGGGTCTACCTCTTCAAGTAAAACGGTTCGATCCGGCCCAAAGAAGTGTTTTTGCGGTAATCTTTCAAAAACATGATTTAAAAAAAATTCTGAGTCACATTCATAGAGCCTTTTTTTGTTCCCCCCAAAATAATGTATAAACGTGCTAAAAACAATAGTTCTTTGAGAATCATCCGAACATTTTATTCATAACTGAAACGCTTCTGAGTGGAACACGACAAAAATTATGATTTTTTTTAAATCAAGGAAAATAATAAACATAATTTGATGGATAATATATTCGGGAAGGATTCGTCAGTGTTTGAAATTTGATAAAAAAATGTTTCATCTATGAAAAGTAGGACTGGAACCTCTGGTGGAGAATAAGTCCAAAACAAGCACTTACTCCAAATTCCAGAACTGCAACACTCTACTTGACACGCGTTTCACCAACCATGTAGATGGAGTGAAGTACCTAATCTTCTGAAGACACCAAATAAGTTGGTTGAATGCACGTCAAGAAGAGTGTTGCAGTTCTGGTGCTTGGGAAAAGTACTCGTTTTGGATGTTTCATCTAGAGAACAGTTTGATATTGCGAGATGGAACTTTTTCAAATTGTATTCCATGTTTTCGATGTATTTATAAAATTCAGAGATGAACTTTTTTGATAACAATATCTGAAGCAGTTAACCAAATTTGAATTGAGATGATATCGGACGAGTGAATGGTTTTTTTGAATTTTCTCCCACGTATTCGGTCAATATGGTTCATCAGATTTTTTGTATGTATGTATGAATATAGTACGGATGGTGAGTGTATATCAGCACTTAGGCCACATGTGACCCTTGTACATCTTCCCGAGGAGTTGTCCTCCTAGGTCATCGTCCATCCTGTCCTTTCCAGGAAGGTGGACAGGTCACTAGGAAACATCTCCTTTATATCGGCAGATGTAGGCCAAGACTCGCCAAACACACTCTTTTTGGCAACCTTGAGGTATCTCACGGAGGCCTCCGCGAAGGTTTTGGAAGTTGCAGCGACATAACTGTCGTTGCGTGGCTTCTTTAACCTTCCTGGGGTTCCCTTAATGAAGGTGTTCAAGTGAGGGTGCTTTCTTGCAGGGGCAGTCGGTTTCTTGCCTTTATTCAAGGCGGAGATCTTGGCGCCCGCTGCAGGAAGTGCTCTTGCTGTTGGAGGTGGGGTGGGGGAGGAGGAGGGTGCACTTCTAGTTGCTGCTAGTCCTAACCCTTTCACTCTCTTTCTCCTTTTGGTCTCGGCGCCGCAAATGCGCCGCCTTTTTATTACATCACGAGGTGATCTGCTCATTCCGAGCGGTAGATTGGGGTGGAGATTTCTGTTCATCCCCAGCCACACCATATGAGGTGAGCACTTCTATCCAGCTTCGTGATTGGTTTTTGTTGTGTCTGTTTGTTTCATGTACAGCGTGACTCACGGTTGATGGTAGGTTAGACGTTTCTGGAAAACGCAAAGCATGATTTTTCTGAAAATTTCACCTCTCACATTTCCTTACTTGTTCTATCGATCTGAAATATTTTCAACATTGCGGCGTTGCCACTTCCGGCAAAAAGTCCTAGCAACTTCATTTTTTTGAATGGAACACCCCAACACATTTTTGGAATTGCCCAACACATTTTTGGAATTGCTCTGGTATTTTAATACTTTTTTGTTGATAATGATACCTATTTCTATCTGTTTTCGAGATAAAAAATAAATTGTGATAAATATGGTCCAAAACATAGACTTAATTAAAATTAAGTACATCGGTACTCTCATCAATTCATGAAAAGTTGATATTGTGATGAAAGTTTGGACAAACTCGAAATATTCAAATAACACCAAGAAATCGACTCCATATCATACAGGGCGTGCTGAAATTACTATTATTTCCATTGTGCATAAAAGTAGTCAAACCTGTAAATTACTCGGTAAATTGAAAGATGGTGAAAAATGCTTCAAGATGATATATCATGTCCCTATACCTAAATCGTCAAATTTTCTCAATAAAGTCGCTTCTTCTAGAAACATTATTTTTTTTAGAATTTGGATTTAGGTAGCAGTGGAATTATCAAGCTTATAGCAGTTCCGTTACTTTTATAAGTAATTTACAAAGAGTTATCGACGGTGTTTCGAATCATCTTCCAAAATGAATGCAAAAATCGATTATTCAAACGAAGTTCTTATGAAATTATTTATTATACACGGACAGTGTGATCAAATCATTGCCAGAACTTGTAAAAAATTCAACCAAATGTATCCTGAATTAACACCAATGAACGAGAGGAAGTTTGTAAGGTTACAAAATAATTTCCTCAACTATGGCTCAAAATTTCCAGG